TTAACTCAAGGTTACCTCTTTTATCCCTCAAGAAATTGAGTTATTAATATAGACCCACGAAATATATAATTATAGCAGGAATAGTCCAAAACGCCCCTTTAAAACTTAACCAGAAATCCGACTCCGACTGGGATTACGCAACCTGTGACGGCCCGTCGTGCCTGTGACGGTTCGTCATGCAAGTTCGTCAAAGACTCGATTTCCTTAAGGAGTCTGTGACGGCCCGTCGTACCTACGACGGTTCGTCCTGCACTTCCGTCACGACGTTCAGAGAATCGTTCCTGTACCAAATTCTCAGGAGTTGAAGTGTTTGTAAACGGTGGATCACGACGGTTCGTCGTGCCTGTGACGGTCCGTCCTGCAGGTCCGTCACAGAGTTCAGAGAGTCGATTTCAGCACCCAAATTTCAAAATTTCTAAGTGTTTTGGGACGAGACACCCTCGACGGTCCGTCGTGCCCATGACGTTCCGTCGTGGGTTCCGTCGTCTCAGCCTGTTTTTTCTAGAATTAAAATCTGCTGCTTAAAATGACTTAACAGGTCGTTACAAAAGTATGTACAGAATTATGGAACAATTAGCAGGCCACTCACTAATTTGTTAAAGAAACAAGCCTTCAAGTGGAATAGTGAGGCTGAAAATGCATTTGAAAATCTTAAGAAAGCTATGACGACTACACCGATGTTGACTCTTCGTGATTATACTCAAGAATTTGTGGTGGAAACTGATGCGAGTCATGGGGGTATTGGGGCTGTGCTAATGCAACAAGGGAAGCCAATTGCGTTCTTTAGTAAAGTTTTGGCTCCTAAACATTGAGGTAAATCGATTTATGAAAAAGAGTATATGGCTCTACTTAATGCGGTGGACAGGTGGAGACATTATTTACAGTTTAAACACTTTGTTGTTAAGACTGATCATCACAGTTTGAAATACTTGCTAGAACAACGAGTGACTTCGGCTATGCAACAGAAAGGTTTAACAAAATTGTTGGGTCTTGATTATGAGGTGCGTTACAAAAAGGGCGCCGAGAATAGAGTGGTTGATGCTCTATCTAGGCGACAAGAAGGATTGCAGGCAGACGAGATTCCGGAGGTAGGATTATTGATGGCTGTGAGTATGGTCACGCCCATGTGGATCCAAGAAATTATGCACAGCTATAGTGAGGATTCATTTGTTCAGGAGTTAATGACCTTGTTATCAGTAGACACACACGGGCCTAGTTTGTGGCATAATGTTAATGGTGTTTTGAGGCGTAAAGGCAAGGTTTATGTGGGTTCTCAAGGGCCTCTACGGCAGCAGCTCATTTCCAATTTTCATGATACTCCTTTGGGTGGGCATTCGGGTCAGTTAGGTACTTTGAAGAGATTAACTCAATATTTCTATTGGCCTAAAATGAGGACTATGGTGAATGACTATGTGGCTCAGTGTGAGGTATGTCATCGTAACAAAGACGACAATGCAGCATATCCGGGTTTACTTCAACCTCTGCCGATTCTGAATCAAGCTTGGAGTCATGTTAGCATGGATTTTATAGAGGGGTTACCAAAGTCTCAAAATAAAAGTGTGATCTTGGTGGTGGTTGATCGTTTTACCAAGTACGCTCATTTTATAGCTATGGCTCATCCCTTTACTGCTGTGACAGTGGCTGAATTGTTTTGGAAGCAAATCCACAGGTTACATGGAACTCCAGAGTGTATTGTATCTGATCGAGACAAAGTATTTTTGAGTAAATTCTGGCAGGAAATGTTTCGGCTATTAGGTACACAGTTGCATTATAGTTCAGCCTATCATCCTCTGAGTGATGGCCAAACTGAGCGAGTCAATCGATGTTTGGAGAACTATCTTCGTTGTATGACCGCTAATCGACCTGTTCAATGGAAGAAATGGTTGTTTGCTGCAGAATGGTGGTATAACACCAACTTCCATACGGGCTTGCAATGCACTCCATTTGAAGCGTTGTATGGATATACTCCGCCTCAACTTTCAATCGGGCCTCTTCTGGAAACAGTAGTACAGGCAGCAGAAGATGTAGTGATGCATCGACAACAGTTTCTTCAGTTATTAAAGGATAATCTCGCTACTGCCCAAGCTCGGATGAAATTTTTTGCGGATAAGAGAAGAACTGAGCGTGAATTTGCAGTCGGCGATTGGGTTTATTTGAAACTTCAACCTTATAGGCAGACTTCATTAGCTTTAAGAAGGAATTTAAAACTCAGTTCTAAGTACTACGGTCCATATCTAATACTTGAGAAGGTGGGGTTAGTGGCTTACAAATTAGCTCTACCTATGCAGTCTAAGATTCACCCGGTCTTTCATGTATCGTTGTTAAAGAAGAAGGTGGGCGATCGAGTGTTAGTACAGTCGGAGTTGCCTTATACGAATGATGCAGGGCAGTTCTTGGTGAAACTAGTGGCTATTTTGCAGCGACAAATGGTCAAACGTAACAATGTGGCAGGGGTGCGCGTACTAGTGCAATGGTCTAATCTTCCACCTGAGGATGCTACGTGGGAGGATTATGAATTTTTGCGCGCTAAGTTTCCCAGTTTCGACTCTATTCCTTGAGGTCAATGATTCTTTGATGCAGTGGGGAATGTTATGAAGTGAAGATCAGTGAAGCGAGGTGGGGATTCGATATCGGAACAAGGCGACAGTAGTAACTGTAGTAACTGAAATTTGGAAGAAGTAACTATCGTTAGAAAGGAACGGCTAGGATTTAATGAGAAGCGATGGTGAGGATGATGCCACGTAGATTGAAGGTGGTTATATAATAGTGGTTAGAGGAGAGAGAAGTATAACAAACTATTGGGAAAAGTCATGTTTCTTTCCTCTCTTCTTCTCACGTTCCCTTTCTTTCTGTTTCTCCGTTCTCTTCTATCTTCTTTCTCTGTACTTCCTTTTGTTCTCATCCTTCTTCTTCATTTTGCATTTACAACTTTTCTATGGAGGTTACGAAGTTCTTAGTTGATAGTTCATTACGTGTAATTGAGACTTCCGATTATCAATAAAGTTGGTCTGATTTCTGTGATTTTCAATTCAAATTGTAAATTGAATTTGTGGTCTTATTAAGGTCATAACAGTCGGGTCCAGAATTTTCATACAAGGGGGTTTGGAAAGTAAAAATTTAGTGCTTGCAATTTGAACTTTAAGTTCAAGGTGAATTGAACCCCTAAACTACTGCCCAACCTCTAGTATTGTGTTTGGGGTAATCAAAATCTATATATGTTCATAAAAAGTAAAAAAATTACCTTTTATATACATTGTAAGATTTCACCAAAGATATTCGGGTGAACGCTCTCCCGCTCCCTAGATCCGTCTAAAATTGCAGTAAAGTTGCCGAAGCTTTCAAAGGGAGTTTAGTGTCTTGGGGAATGTACAAACCTTAAAAAATGGAAATCAAGTGCAGCAAAAGCCAGAATCGAACCCGCGAATGATTGACAACCTTGGGATGAGGAACCATATTATCCTGCATTCAATTTGGGGAAAATCTGAACCCCCTTGACCACTATGCTAAGCTTCTCAGTTGTGTTGAGGGGGTATATTTTAGCATACATACTCATAAAAAACCAATTATAATCTTACATATATAGTGTATTTTTCTGATGAGGACTCTTAACAGCTACTGCAGCACAAGATGAGGCTTAGAATTTATCAACTTCGTGTTTTTGGCTTTTATTTTCCCGATCTAATTCCTGGCAATGTTCCCAACTCTTGTTGTTCATACGTATTAGTGGATGTAATACTAGTCTCTGTTCTAGATTGAGATTATGCTCTTCTCACTTAAAAATGACTAATTAATAAATTATAATATTTAATGGTGATATACCAAATGATAATTGACATAGTAATTATAAACAAGTAAACAACAAAACTATGAGAGAAGAAAGTTTGATATGGACAAAAAGTAGAATACAACATTATGGAGCGGGTTGCGTGAGGTTAGCTGTGGCTGGTGAAATCATCCCTTTTCCCTCCCCATTGATACCCCAAACATTTTTATCTTAACTTCCCCCCATTTGTAAGGATGGTGTTGCCAAAATTTTCTTGCTTCTCCCCCTTGCTTTATTGTGGAGTAGCAGAGGTTCAAAGACCGTCTCCATATCCAGGGAAATGGAGGCAATAGAGAGTAGGATCTAAGCAAGGGGGTGAGATAAAGAATTGGAATCTGCTCCATCTTTTTTACGTTGTAAAGGGAGAGAGAAGAGAAGGTGGATAGATTTGGTGTGTCTTACCTGATATAGTTCATTCCTTCCTTCAATCCCCCCCCCCCTCGCTCCTCCTCGTGTTTTAACCTCAAACTATCACAAATAGTATGTTAATACCCTTCGTTATACTTTAAGGTTGTATATACCCTTACCGTCATTCTTTTGGGTTGTGTATATCCTTGAATCTAACGAATGGACACGTGGCACCATCTAAACAATGCAACCATATTTTATTTAATTTTTATTCACAATTAAAAAAACCCCACCCAATTTCCACCATTTGACCCACCCATGACCCAACCTAAAATATCCTAACCCAATTATAACCCCAAATCACCCAAAAGACACTTCATCATTCTTCCTCACACTAACATTCCAAAGTCCAGATCTTGTTAAGATGATATGAGTTTATAGCTTGTTAGCACGTCAGAATATTCTCAGTTTACTATTCAATATTAACCTATTCACGATGAAAGCTAAGTGGAAGAAGAAGCTTACGAGGAGGCTCAAGAGTAAGCACCAAAAGATAAGAAGAGATCGAAGTAGAACCTTGTTCCGAAATTCTCAACGGTCTAGCTATGCTTATGGTCTTCGTTAGGCTTCTGTGGTTTAAGTTTTGTTTGAAAACATCAATAACATTTGAGTTGTGATTTTGTTCTAATCGTACATAATTCAAATTTTGGTATCTGATTTTGGCTATGAAAAAAATGGTTTAGATAGTATTTCTTCGTTTGCCTTATGGTTCAGTTGAATATTATGTAAAATTAACCTAAGAAAATGAAGATCCAATAAACAACTACAGTTGTCGATGGTGGTCAATTGACTGGGATGACATTGAAATCTTTGAGGATGGATCACCAGACCACTCTTCCGAAGCTCTTATACATACTGCGGCAGAAACGGTAAGAATGGTGTCGCCGGCGATGGTCGTGCTAATAATGGAAGAATTGGTTTTGGGTTCCAATTTGATGGATATGCTGTTGGTTATAATTGGGTCGGGTGTTTTAATGTGGGTGATGGGTGGGTTTTTTAATTAAAGGTAAAATACTAATATTAAATTAAATTCAGAAAATTATTTGGATGGAGACACGTGTCCCTCCGTTAGTCCAAAGGGTAAATACGTTCTAAAATTTAGACGGTAAGGATATCACTGTCCTAAAAGTATAACGATGGGTATTTAGATACCATTTATAATAGTTCGGGGATATATTTGTTCTTTTTCCCTTTTATAAAAACATGTGTGCCACAATAATGTGATGCTCACAGAATGTTTGACGCCTTGTCTTTTATTTTATGAAGTAAAGCCACTTTAATTTTTCTTGTGCTGGAGCTTTTTATGATTAATTTTTTCAATAATTGTTTAAAGTTGCATTATTTTGTATATCCATTCAATGCTTGAACTTTTATTTCCATTTAAGTTACCTAAGTGTTGGTATTGACCACTTGAGTTTCCTCTGCAGACTTCTATTGAAAGCGACATTACCTTACATGATTCACAAGATTCCTAGGTCCAAAGGCAGTAGCTTTTGGCTAGTGGCAATTCAAGTTATTGCAAGCTTAAATCTATTGTTGTCGATAGTGGTATCTACTTTTCATTTCCTTTATATGGTGTTAATGCTTCAAACTCTGATTTAACATTTCAAATCACTAATGCGACTATATTTTAATTTCCATATAAAATTCATTAGGGCGGATGTAGTTAACAAGCAACAGGTTCATCCGAATCCATCCAATGATTTTAATAGATTTTATATATATATATATATATATATATATATATATATATATATATATATATATAAACATATATACATATATACACATATATACATATATATACATATATACATATATATGTAGAATCACCAAATTTCAATAAATACTACATTTGAAACCAGAATTTTTAAGTGCATCGGTGACAAAAATATAGCGATTCAACCCATAAAGTTTAATCCTAGATCTGCCTCTGATATTCATATGGCTTCTGCAGATGGCTCTCAATTTTCTGAAGTTCAGAAAGAGACATTGGTGGAGGTCATGCTATCTTTGGGCAGGTAATTTACTCTTCAATCCATGAACGCATATGATTTTGTTTTCATATTTCTTGCCTTAATCTGGTGCTTGATTGGTTATTCTGTAATACATCTAATCCTCCTTGCTTTCCAGTCTGGATTGAAGGTCCACTGGGATTTGGTTTGCTGTTGAGCTGCCGTATTACACAGATATTCCAACTTTATTATATATTTGTGAAGTAAGTTTGACTTTTCAAAGCAATTAATGATAACTGTTGTTCTTTGTAATTGATGAGATGATTATGTATCTTGGCCTCATCAATATTCAATTGAGAAACTGTTAAATGGTGCAGCTTCCTCAACAAGTCTTTTTCCTGGAAGAAAATAAACAAATAGAAATAACTGCATGTCTCCTGAGGAAAATAGGATAATGGACTATCACATATGTAATTCCGGTTTCACAGAAATGAAAAGAAGATTGATTACCTGCAGATATTAAAGGTTGCTCAAAAATAGTACACCACCCCTGAGATAAAGTGATGTTATATTCCTGTTGGCATGCCCTTCCTAAAGATATGTCACAACTGAATTAAAATGAAACAGAATTCATCTATTATGTCTTTTCTATACTTTTTTTCCTTTTCTTCCTTGTCTCTCTCTCTCTCTCTCATTTACTCTTTTGTCGTTTGAAAAATTTGAGATATAGCTTTAAAAGACTATTTCTTAGTGCTATTGTTGATTCATGTTACGTGGAAAAACTCTTTTTCGATAGTCTTATATTTCTTTGTTTTGTATGGTGCTTCAGGAGACGTCTGCCACCACTTAGATCCTATATTTTTCTTCTGCTGATTCTCTTGCCATGGATAGCTCTTGCTGCAGGTAAGATTCTTCAAGTTGAACTCTATAAATAAGTCTTCTTTTAAGTTTCTTCTATTGAAATACTAAAATATATATTAGTAGATGAGGGACTTAGGGAGCTGGTGGTGGAGGTTAGGATGATGAAAGACAGGGTATTGACGGTCAAGCTAGTCACCGGAGGGCTTACTTTAAACATGATTAGTGCTTACGGCGGCAAGTGGGCTTGGAGGAGAAGATCAAGAAGTGCTTCTGGGAGGATTTGGATGAGGTGTTGAGGGATATGCCACATTTCAAAAAGCTATTCACTGGCAGAGATTTCAATGGTCATATTGGGTCAATCACTAGTGGTTTTGACAGCGGGGATGGAGGTTTTGGTTTTGGGCTTAGGAAAGGAGGAGGAGCATCACTTCGGGATTTTGCTAAAGCTTAAGAGTTGGCGATAAAAAATTCATGCTTCCCAAAAAAGGAGGACCACATGGCCTTGGAGATGGGAGAGAAGTTAGAGTCGATGGAGGCTTGGGGAAGTAGTGGAGATGCAAATAACATGTGGGATAAGATAGCTAGTTGCGTTAGGAAAGTAGTCAGAGAGGTGTTAGGTTTTTTCAGGGACTATTTTTGCGGCCATCAAAGGGATTGGTGGTGAAATGGAGATGTACAAGGTATCATGAAAAGCAAAAAAGTTGCTATGCTAAGTTAGTGTTGAGAAAAGATGAGGTGGAGAGGCGGAAAAACACGATAAGGTATAAGGTGATGAGAAAGGACACGAAGTAGCATGGGACCCCAGCCTTAGTGCTGAGATTTATACAAAACCTTGTTACCTTTGTCAAAAAAGGAAAGGACACGAAGTAGCAGTCATAACGGCAAAAACGACAACTTTCAAACGCTTGTTTGTCGATCTAGGGGACAAAGAAGAGGATAAGAAGTTGTACAGGCTCGCCAAGGCGAGAGAAAGGAATCCTCGGGACTTGGATCAAGTGAAGTACATCAAAGATGAGGACGGTAAAGTACTAGTGGAAGAGGCCCACATTAGACGAAGAGGGAAAGCATACTTTCATAAACTCTTGAACAAAGAAAGGGTCACAAACATTGTGTTGGGTGTTATAGAGAACTCGGAGAGCGAGATTTTGATTACGGTTGGTGTTTTAAGGTTGAAGAGGTTAAGGGTGCTATGTGTAAGATGAGTCAGGGTAGAGTCACTAAACTAGATGAATTCCGGTAGAGTTCCAAAAAAGCACAAAAAGGGCGGGTTTAGCGTGGTTGCCTAGGTTGTTTAATGTCATTTTTAAGACCTCAAAAAAAATATTAGTGTCCCCCTTTTTTTTTAACGAATGAGCCTCTTTTACCCATTTAACTACCTACTTTTATATGGGTAAAATGAGTTTGACTCATTTTTTACCCATTTTAAATGAGTTGGATGCCAACATTTAAGTTGGGTAATTTGAATGGGTACCCATATAAATTACTTATTCTGCCACCTCTAAATTATGGGAGGTGACTCAGAGCACTTACCAGTCGAGATGGGGTCGCACCAAGGATCTGCATTGCACCTGTTTCTATTTGTCTTGGTGATGGATAAGTTGATACGGCATATTCTGCATGAGGTGTCTTGGTGTTTGTTATTTGTAAATGACATTGTTTTAATTGAGGAGACTCAGGCGGAGTTAACGATTGATTGGAGGTGTTGAGACAAATTTGACAATCTAAATGGTTCAAGTTGAGTTGGACCAAGACAGAAGATATTTGCCTATTTGGAGTGTAAATTCAGTGATGTGACATAGGCAGGGGCTGATCCAAGGTTTAAAGGCTATGGGTGTCGTATCGCCTTTTAAATAAACGTGTTTATTAAATCAATTAAATATTTAACCTTTTTCTTACCTTGTAAATAACCTCAGACTTCAGTTCGATTATTCGACTTTTGAGTTTTGGACAAATTAAATGAATTAAAAAAAAGATAATGACAACTTGGCGCAAAGGAAAAATTTTCCAATAATATCCTTTATAATTACACCCGCTGATCATATTCTAAATACACTTAATGATGGCATAATTATTTATGTTTATTAATACTTCACGCTCTATGTAACATGCTTAATAAAAAGTGGCTAAATTTTTTTCATATACATAATTTTAGTAACAGAAACGAAGTCTTATGTACTTTATTTTGTTTACATTCTCGATAAGATTTAAATTATCATAATCTAAACTATTTCTTTTTATACATTGAAATGTTTTAATAATAGAACAAAGAGTAAGAAAAACTCGGCGTCATGTTTTCAGAATTTTGACCAAAAGAGAAGATAATTTTGGAGGAGAAGGTTTTAAGCAAACATTAATCATTTGTTTGACTATAAATTATCTCATTAAGGGCCAAACAAACTAAAATTGTTTCTAATATACAAAAGTAGCATTCTTTTGTGGAATTGTGGTAGTCTAAAAAAGAAAGTGTATCACGTGAATTGAGATGAAGGAAAAAAAAGTTAACAAAATAAAAATTAAAAAGTTTTACAACATGTTAGCATATGTACATTATATAATATAGTAAAGTACATAAATATCATGTAGTGGCCATGGCTTAATGGATAAGGTGATTCTTAATTGCAGTGATATATGTTGGTTTGAAACATATCGGGAATCGTTTTTGCAAAATAAAATTGTTGCATAAATGGATAACTCAAAGTGCACCTATGCGGAATTGAACTCGCGTCTTTGACGACAACAAGTTGACTTGCCACCAGTGACAACATACGCCCCATTTGTGCTGTGGGTGGCAAGTTTAATATTTATATAATATAATGTACATATATACATGTCTTACAGAATATCAATGGAGATCATTGGGTGTTGTGGCACCCCCACGGCTATGAATAGATCCGCCCCTGGTCGTAGGAGCCAAGCATGGAAATGAGACTTGATACTCAAGTTATCCCTAAGAGCGAGATGGAGATATTTAAGTATCTAGGGTTTTTGCTCCAAGGAAATGGGGAGATCAATGATAATGTCTCACCGTATTGGTGCGGCATAGATGAAGTGGAGGCTTGCATCTAGTGTCTTGTGTGACAAGAAGGTACCACCCTAAATTAAAGGTAAGTTTTATATAGTGGTGTTTAGACCGACTTTGGTGCATGGGGCGATGTGTTGTCTAGTCAAGAACTGCCAGGTTCAGAAGAAGCAAGTGGCAGAAATGAGGATATTGAGATGGATGTGCGGGCATATAGGAGCAATCATATTAGGAATGAGGATATCTGACACGAAGTGGAAGTGGCTTCTTGGTGGACAAGATGTGGTGGACAAGATGAGGGAAGGGAGATTGAGATATTTTGGACACATGAAGAGGAGAGGTGCGGATGCCACAAAAAGGAGGTGTGAGAGGTTGGATATAGGGGTTGAGGAGAGGCAGAGGTAGGCCGAAGAAGTTTTGTGAAGAGGTGATTAGCCAAGATATGCCACATTTTTAGCGTATTGAGGACATGACCTTAGATAGGAGGGTACACGAATAAGGTAGAAGATTAGTAGGTGCTGAGAGTTGTCTTATTACTTACCTATTCATGTCTTTGGATGGGTGGGAGTATAGAGCGTCATGTGGGTTGTAGTATTAGCATACACATTTAGTCTTTAGCTTTTAGTATCTGATTTTATTTGTGGTTTACTGTGTTTAGGTGACCGCACTTTGCTGCTGCTGTTACAATTTACTTGCATATCTGCTAAGCACTGCTTTGTTATTAGCTGTCATGTTTTTCTTTTAATTACTGTTTTGATTTGTTGGAACCGAGAGTGGGTCTGCGTACACTACCCTAGGTTGTTACTGTTTACTTAGTAGTTGCTTTCACTGGGTATGTTGTTGTTGTTGTGGAAGTATGACTTGTCTTTTGCCTACACTTTTGCAGTTAAGCTACTTTATGCATTTTAATTTTGTGTTTTAGTATTTGGTAAGTTTATCTTTCAGTTGAGTCTGCCAAAACTTTGTGCAAGTGTGTGAACAAGTATTTTTTTACTTTCATTACCATGTGACAATTTGTTGATTTTAGCTCAGTCAAATTGATTTTGATAATCGGCATTAAAAATTGCTGAAAAATTGCAAAAAGTTTGATTTTCAACACTTATGTGATTAGTGTATTCTGCTCTTTTCATATTGTCACTTCGGCACATGAATTATCTGTCATCCCTGATATTAATATTATAAGCTTCATTTGCTAAAGTTGTTTATGTAAGAAAGGATTTTTGATATTAATACGGAGTTTGTCTGATGAAGTTATTCAGATAAAAAAGCCTCTGAACGACCGGTGCCACATGGGGACGCTGTGGATCATCATTGTTATGGGCCTTCATGCATTATATGTTGTAGCTTTGATTGCTTTTGCTGGGGCTGTGCATCATGTGGAATTCAGATTTCATGAACTCAAAGACCTTTGGAGAGGAATTCTTGTCTCTTCAGCTTCCATTGGTTTGTTTCTATCCATTTTCTTCGTTTGGTTTCTTTCCTGGCATGCTTCTGTGTCTTCCTGTGTGTGCTTTGGTAGGGGAATGACATATTAAGGAATGAAGTCAGAAAGACATATTTAGTCTTGATTAACACTTCCTCAATATTGTTGTCCAAGCATCTAAAGGTATTCTTACACATACCAGAAGCACGAGCATTATACTGAAATACTGTCAAGGAAAATTCAATGGAGGAAAGTAACTAGCTTCAGTGTAATGGTCAAAGTGGCTGACTTTCAGATCTAATAGTTGAATTTGACCTTCATGACTGAGACACCAATTTAAAATACTTCTCATGCATTCCCCTCAAGTTGGATAACATGCATATCAAATCGCTTACAGATAAAATTCTTATCTTAAATCTCAGAAATAAATTGTTATTAATTGCAGCTTGATATACAGGGTTTAGATAATCACAGATAACAAAGGCTTCTAGTATAGGATCTGTCTATAAAGTATAAACAGTGAGACATTTTATACCCCCAATTTAATACAAAGGAAAGTTCAGGAACTACTTGGTTAAACACACCACATTATGTAGATGTGAGAACTCAAATCAAAGTTTTTGATGGAAATTTTAGGTCATGTAAATTGTGTTGTAGCCCTGGACACAAGAGTCTTAGCTTGGTTCTAGGAAAGCATGTTATTTATTGCTTTAGCAAGACTTCGTTTCCTCCTAGAGAAAATTTATACTCCCTTCACTGTCACATTTAGCTTCCTGAGAATCAAATAGTGTGATATTTGACCAAGTCTTTTTTGATATATTTTCATTTTTGTAAGGTATAATTTTGAATGTCTAAATTTTAATCTAAGAAATGAAAATTCTTTATCCAATTATCAATAGAATTGATCAAATTGACCATAAGCAAAACTGTCAACCAAATTGTATGGGAAACTGGGGATGTATAGAGAAGTTTTTTTCCTATGACTTGAGATTCTTGCTGACAGAAATGTATACACTCTTCATTCTATGTGACCAGTTGCTTTTGACACACCCAAATGTGACGACAAAACTTTTAAACTGTGTATTAGACACAGTTGAGGAAAGGTTTGGTGTTTCAAAGTTTCTTTCGTGAAGTTAGGGTGTGAAAGGGATACAGTGACATGTTTTGGGGGTGGGTGGGTGGGTTAATTATTTGGCCTATCTTCAATCACAGGAAAGAAAATCCTTCTATCCATCAAAGCGTCATTAGCAGGATTAACTTCTAGATCTGACATTTATAAGTTGGCTATATAAAGCCCTCCTATGCTTGAGAAAAATAAAAAATTGAGAGGCACTTTCAACATGTTTTTGCTGCCTGTCTTTTTCTATAAAAAAAAAACACCTCCAGTCAGTTGCTTCACAGTGGCTTTGTTAACTGAAGTATGGTTAATGGTTACCATACTTGATAGAAAGGTGTACAAGAAGATGCAATGAAAGACCCTGATACTCCGCATGATGTCAAGTTGGCTGCAAAGGACTACTCAAGTTCTACCCTTATGCACACTCATCCTGCCTATAAAAAAATCAAGGTTCTCCTTTGCCCTCAACACCCCAAAAGTGCCCTTGATAGTACAACTTCTGGAGCATGGTACTTTTGAAGCACTTGCGTAAATCTGAAGATAATTTATTCCAATCCTCCAACCTCTTAGATCGTGGTACTGGCTACTTATATCATATGTTGCTCAGAGTCTCCAAAATGTCGCCTCACTCTTGTTGAATCCTTCCTAAAATGCACTACTTTTGGTATTCATATACATTTTTGAAGAGTCTGAGTAACATAGCTTATATCCTTGTATTACTGGGGAACAGAGATGTCCGGTGGTGTTCGTCCTTCCTGCCCTTCCACTATGTGATGGTGCAAGTTACTAAATTTCATGGGGTGAAAGGACTCTGATTGGCCTCATGTATCCTCTTTCATCATGATAGATACAACCACCTGCTCTAAGTAAGAAAAGGATAGAAAATTATGTTCAGATATTAACGCTAGGAAGTTGTGGTTTTATTTTTAAATGTATGAAGACATATGAAACTCTGTAATATCGCAACTTGTTTTTTATCTTTAATATTTATTGGTTTGTTACATCATGCTTTATTCAAATACATATGTTATGACTTTCATCTGTCTGTTTCAACATTCACTGTTAGTTACTTGTAGTTCAAAACTAAATTGAAAATGATATTTCTTCTTAGATATTTCTTCTTAGACATTTCCCAAGAATATTTTGTGTTGATACCAGTCTGTTTTCTCTGTATCAAGGAATATGGGTGGCTGCTTATGTAATGAATGAGGTTCGCGAAGATATATCATCGCTAGAAATTGCCTCAAGATTCTTATTATTGGTTATGGTACAATTTCCTGATCTTGTGCTACTTTGTTGATATGTGAGTATCAGAATATGTTTGTTGACTGCCTACAGTTTTTCTCTTTTTATTCAACAGACAAGTGTCCTTGTACTGGCATTCTTCTCTTTCTCGATTTCTCAACCTCTTGTCTCAGTTATGAGCTTGAGGAAGAAGAATCAGAAAGAATACAAGACAATGAGTCAGGCATTAGGTATACCTGATAGTGGGATCCTATTACAGAGGGAATCGACAAGCATTCTAGATCCTAATGAACCTTTGGAAAAGCTCCTGCTGAATCGAAGGTTCCGTCAGTCCTTCATGGAATTTGCAGACAGGTTTTACTCATTCTCCTTTTGCAAAAATATCATTAAATCTTCATGCTGCGTGCGTGCATCAGCTTATCATGTGAAGAGAGAAGATGGTCCTGTCTTTTCTCCTTGATTTTAACATAATTGAACGTCAAAAGAAATAAAATGTATGTGATATTCTTGGAAACAAAGAAATAACAGATATAAGCAGACCAACTTTTCTAGAGAGGAACTCTAACAGACAGGTCTGAAATTGATTGCACAGTAATAGAATGACCTTTTTTTCTTTTACTTTGTTCACATCGTAGTTGTCTGGCTGGAGAGAGTGTGCACTTCTATGATGAAGTGCAACATTTTGATAAAATTCCTATTCAGGATTCAGTTAGGAGAATTTACATGGCACGCCACATAATAGAGAAGTATATTGCTGCAGGTAAGGTCAATTCATATATGAAGCTTTTGATGGTCATATTAAATCTTCCCTTCAAAGATTCTTTAAAGCAAGTTTTCTTGGGAACTTGATGGATTATACACTTTGATTTTTTTTTCTGTATCCTCCGGTCCTCCCTCTGAAAAGTATTCTCGTGCTTAAATTTTGATGGTTCTCTGACTTGCATTTGCTCATTAAACACCTGTAGGAGCACCAATGGAGGTGAACATTTCTCACCGAATCCGGCAGGAAATTTTGAATACTAATGATCTCTCCCACACTGACCTATTCAAAAACGCTCTAGGTGAACTGATGCAGCTGATGAAACTGGTTGGTCTTTTACATTCTGAACCATTACTTGCTTGATTATAATGGTATTTTGCATATTGCTTAGTTATCCTCTTTCTATCCTTCCTTCCGTCTCACTCTCATCATCTCTTGTACTATTGTTGAATCGTTCTTCTTGTGGACACACAAAGAACTTAGCAAGAGATTACTGGTCGTCAATGTACTTCATGAAGCTGCAAGAGGATATCCGCATGAGAGCAGTTGATCCGGAGATGGAACATGCTAGTGGTTGGAATTTTTCCCCAAGATTGAGTTCTGTCCATTGCAGTGATGACCCTTTCCAGAATGAACATACAGAACTGCGATGATGAAACATGTGAGTAGGGTCATGACTTCCCAACGTGATGGAGTTGCATATATTTGGCCGTAACAGGAAGAGAAGGGAACCTAAACGAGACATGATATTCATCTTCACAGGATGGGCTCCAGCTACCTGATTCTCCTGTTCATAAACGATACGAGCCTTCAAGACCAAATTTTGCTGTGTGATGTTGCACCTCATGCTTTGCAGACCTGAAGGAGCAATGCCAAGACCATGGTATGTGAAAGAACAGGGCAGACTGAAAGTGGGCTTCTAGTTTTCAAATTTGTGGGTGGCAATTCATGCTGGCAGGTAGATTTAACAAATGCATACTTTTGTATGTAATTGGAACTTCATAGGTATATCTTACTGTACTTGTTATATAAATCAACATGTGAATAAACTTTGATACCCATTATTGTGTGAAGTTGTGAAAGTTACAGGTGGAGTCGATGTTGAAATTCTGTTTGTTGGATAATTATGTTGTACAAATACAGTAAAGATAATTCTTGTGTTTATATATACTAGTCTCTGAGCACGCGTGATTTATATATACCCTCTAAATTATTTAAAATGGGTCAATTTTACCTTTTAGGTTATGTTTTTGGCTTAAAATGTTTTCCCTGTTACATTTTTGGAGCAAAAATGTCTTCCAACTAGTAAAATAGCTCAAAAATACCATTTTATGGACGTTGCTCCATAACAAGAAAAAAGAATAGTTCAATTTTGCTGTTTAATTATTTGAAATATAATGTTTTTGCACTTTATTTAAAATTGAGAAAATTATATATAATAACAAATTATTAATTTAAACAAAATGCTATAAACATAGTTTGATTTCGCCTCTCTTCTGGTAAATTTCGCTCGCCACAGTCGTTCTTGTCAGCAGTCTTCCTTGCTTCTCTCTCGCTTTTACACAAACACAAGTGTATAAAAATGTGTTTGTATTTGTATAAAACGAGAGAAAATTGTATATATACATATATTAACGTTCCTCTTTCCCATATCTCGACCGTCACTCTTGCTCGACGCTCTCGCTGTATACAAACACAAATGTATACATTGTTGTTTGTGTTTGTATAAAGCCAGAGAAAATTGTACATACAAATACAAATGTATATATTTTTGTCTCTATACACTTATGATTATACAAATACGATCTTTCTTGCCCAATTTTCTTTTGCCTATCTATCTTTCTCGTTTTATACAAACACATATTATACATGATCTTTTGTATATATATACTGAAACAGAAACAAATTATACAATTGCTTTCTTTTATATATATATAGAGCAAAATATACATATTTATATTTGTTAAGAAGTGCAATTATGTAAACTATAAATATATCATACAAATATGATTTTTATATTTATTATATCTGAAAATTACTTTTAAAATTTGGGACAAGTGTTCTTGATTGTAATTGTAAAGATTTGAGCAAAAACACATATCGAACATGAGATTAATTTGATTATTTTTAAAAGTCAATTTTATGTTATGTTTTATATGAAGTTAAATTTCTACATTAATTGTCACCTAAATAGTTGTGCTGTTATTTTCATTTAGAACTCTAATACCCACAATCCTCGACTAAAAGTTAGAATGACTTAAAGTTACAATAAGTAATATAATGTATTAACTATTAAGGTATGATTGATTTTAATTTCTTTTGAATATAATTCTTACAGTTAGCAAAATAAATACACTATTACTAATGTGCGTAGAATCACTTTTTTTTTAAAAAATAGCTATGTAAGAAAAAGTACTTGTTATAAAATCAAGCTCATAATATAATAGAAAGAGAAGAAGACAGAGAAGTAAGATGGAATAGAGAATTTTTCTTTTATTCAAGTGTATCATACAAGGAAAATGAGAGTCCGGAGTCTAAAGGGTATAAAATATTAACAAAAATTTCAAAACGGTATATAAAATTTTATATTAACTAAAACGGCAAAATCGCTGGAACAACAGTGATTTCCTCCACCAAGAAAAGCAAAATCGCTGCTACTGCAGCGATTTTGCAATATGTGATTTTTTTTATTAAAAAATTCAAATCGCTACCTAGGCAGCAAAATTTCATTGATATTCAAATATTTTTTTTGAAATTCAAATATATAGCTTATAAGAAAATATGCACTGTTTTTAAAAAAATTAAGAATAAGTAAGGTAACAAAAATATTTTCCAACTAAAAAAAAAGATATTATATTGAATTTAAATTTAAATGATGTTTGAGTTCAAATAGAATTCTAAATTTTTAACCTCTTTTATTTATATTTCCACAATGTCATATAGTGTTAATCTTCATATTTTTTCATCACCAATCATTAGCTTCATTGGTGAGTTTACTACCTTCTTCATATTCTTTATTTTATTATAAATTTTTTTAAAAATATTTTTATTTTTTATATGCAGATTTCCATTTTTTAAAGAATTTTGTTTTTAGAAAATCGCTGCCGTGATTTCCATTTTTTTAAAAAAAAATAAATTTTAAGGGCAACGATTTTCATCAAATTTTTTTTTAGAAAATCGCTGCCTTTAAATTTATTTTTTAAAGGCAACGATTTTTTTTAAAAAAAATGGAAATTGATGGGTAGGTAGCGATTTGAATTTTTTTTAAAAAAATAATTACATTTTGCAAATTCGCTGCGGTAGCAGCGGTTTTGCTTTTTTGGTGGAGGAAATCACTGTTGTTCCAGCAATTTTGCCGTTTTGGTTGATATAAAATTTTATATACCGTTTTAAAAATTTTGTTAATATTTTATACTCTCTAAACTCCGGACTCAGGAAAATGATACCTCTATTTATAAGTAGAGAAATCACTTCAAACCACTTTGATGAATACCAAATTAATAGATACATTATTATCCCATAGAGATTCATGTCACCTTAGGAACATACATATCCAAGATAAGGATAAAGCTTGGGAATACATATCCATGATAAGGATATATAAGTTCATGAATAATAGACCATCACTTAGTTCAATGGATTTATAACACCCCCTGGATTTCCATAGATAATGTGCCTCGTTAAAACCTTACAAGGAAAAATCCTATGAGAAAAAAATTCTAGTGAAGGAAAGAGTATATGTATCTTTTGATACGCACTATTTGTTGCCTCATTAAAAACCTTACCAGGAAAATCCAGTGGGACAAAATCTCGGTCAAGGAAAAAAGAGTGCAACGCGTATTATACTACCCTGATTAAAATATCACTTAATTTCTTGTGATGACGTCTCTAATCTTTGTACATTGTGGTTGGTATATTCTTTTCAAACAAAAGTCACATTTCCGAAATATGGTATATCATTATCTCAACCAGACGCACTCTCGACTTGCTTCATGGAAGGTTTTTATTTCTGCATAGCAACATTTGCTTCATTGATCGTCAGGATATTATTGTACCTTCATATGCAAACAAATAGCGTGTTTGAGATCGTTCTTTATGGGGATCATATAAATATTTTGCATCTGCGTAACCAATCAGCTCTGACTTGAATTCTTCGGAATAGAATGAACCCATGTCTATGGTCCTTCAAAGATATTCAAGTATATACATAACACCATTTCAATGTCCTTATGTTGGGGAGGAACCGAATCTTGCCAGTAAATTTACTGCAAAATAGATATTTGGTCGAGCGTTGTTAGCAAGATGCATTAGTACCCTGATTGCACTAAGATATGGAGTTACATCACCAAGAAGCTCGTAATCCTTCTCTTGAGATCAAAATGAATCATCATTTATTTCGAGCGATCTCATAATCATTGGGGTACTCAATGAATGTGATTTATCTATATAAAATTGCATCAAAACATTTTTGTGTATATTCACTGATAGACAAATATTTCATTTGTAAACCTATCAATCTGTAGGTCAAGACAAAATTCTGTCTTACCAAGACCTTTTCATAAAAATGCAAGGCCTATTAAGGTCATTCTTTTGTACCTTTTCTTCCTTGACTATTTCAATCCATATAAGGATTCTTGAAGCTTTGTTCAAAAAGTTTCTTTCAAACTCTTATATGTTTCAGACACCTTGATTACTTCAAGGATTTTTATATAACCTTCCGTATTGTCTATCTAGACATGATAATTATTCATTACATGCATTTAAATTTTCAGATATTGCCTGAGCAAAACAAATCTCATTGCACCCACCATAGGAGAAAACATCTCCAATAATGTCAGGATTTTTGCGACAAACCTTTATGCCCTAAGGCACAAACCGTATTTGATATCTTACGATTGTACCATCGCATAATAATTTTGTACCGCATTGACATTGTATCTTGATTTATGGACTATCAGTCCAAAACATCACTTTTTTAAGTGAAACAAAATATACTTGAATTATTGGCCAACCATTTATCTGTCCACACTATATGACATATTTGAATTCAAGATCCTCATCACAATTTATATCATTGAGCGCTACTTTATATCAAAGATACTGTCGATGATTATTTGATATTGATTTCAATATGACATAACTTATCGAGATCTCTTCATTTTTCAGGTACCTGAACCTTTTCTGAGGTTTATGAAGTGTTATGTCAATGTGCTCTTTTATAGCATTTGCCTCATTATCATGACCATATTGATCATTTGTTCCTCTCCTTCTTCAAGGAATTTTATATTTGGAACCGATTTGTCTATTACGCTTCCGGCGTACCATAGACTCCATCCTTCAAGGACTTCACATTGAAACATTTGCAGTTAAATTATATCATAGAGTCTGTACATTCATCTGACAATTAATTTGCAACATTATGCAAATGAATTTACATATTTATTTAACGAGTATCTAGATAATTCATCATTAAACCTAACACATAATTTTCAGTTGTCAATTATCTCTCCTCCTAATATTAAAAAATCTAACATCCATACCAACCTTATTTGGGAATTCATCTTTGTGCATGGTGAAGCAATTAAAATCATAATCGCAAATTCAACATTTTAGATGAAAAATTATTTGGTTCCTGACCCTGAACCAATTTCAATGGGGAAACCTTGTTGGCTTGATGCATACATGTGTTGCTACATGTTAAATAAAATTATCTCATACCAAATTTTATTTGGGAGTTTTGTTCTCATAACCATGATTTAGCTATAATTGGAGGCATACAATTTTTGCTAAATCAACCAGCATTATTAATATAATTTCATAATTTGGAACTGTGCTCGTAATTAAACAATTCGAGCAAACAACCTTACAAACTCCAATTTCTAAGTTAACACCAAAGCATATATGATCATCGCATAGATGCATCCATCATATAGTTGCAAATGATCTACATGACAGGTGAATGAGCTCATATTCACCTTTTTATATGTTCCAAAATTTCACGGGATTACAATTCCAACCTTAGCTGGTACAATGAAAACAAGCAACACAAGAGAATTCTTGAAGAATCTTTTATTTCTTCATCATATAATCCACATGAATTCTTAATTACATTTGCATCACATTAAAATCAGAATGGTCAACTGGTCATGCCAACTAATCTTTATTTCAGTACA